CTCCGTTAATCTGAAGAGAGCAACGGGCAGGAGAACGAGAAAGCACTAGGCTTTTCGTTTTAGATGCGTAGACAGAAATTTAAAATAGAAATATGTCTACCCATTAGAGACAAGTGTTCTGCTTAGCTGTTTTTCATTGCAGTGGAGCATATAAAATGTTCATTCACTATTTGGTATCCTGGTCAAATTTCTAACAATGAATGATGAAGACATTTCAACAGCAGAACTTAAAGAAGATTTACTGAAATAAAACTGGGCCTGAATTTGTGTCAGAAATTCTTTACTTCAGGAACTTGCTGAGCAATTTCAGTAATTCAGGTACACGCATGAAACACAACAAGCTTCTTCTATATGTGTATAGATACTTGACACCGCCGGTTGACTTATGAGCAGGACACTATTTTATCCCAAATAACACGCCTTGCAAACGTTTTTGATGCAGAACCGAAGGTTAGGCTGATGTTACCAGCCCTTCTTAACTGCAAATATTCAGAAAGGCATATAAGGATATGGTCGCACACAGATAGTCAAGATGTATTAGCAATGTTGCTCTTTGTCTGGAGTTTACACAAGTTACGCCATGAAAGAGAGGCATGAACTCCTTCGTCTCTGTTCATCACGTTGGCTCTAGTCTGGATTAAAAGTGATTCGGCAAAAAGTGCTCTTTGTAACTCCCAACCTTTGTCACCATGGTTGCGCAGTTAAAGCCCACACTTTGTCCGGTGGAAACGTGGTGGAGGGCAGTCGCCGAGCTTTTTTACAGGCGTCGCTTTTCTTCTGTCGTTGGATTTGTGATGTTCGCCGCTCTCTTATGCTTTACCATTCTAGTTCGTAGTTGCGTGGTATTTTGACCAGTTTGTAATAGGTGGCATTCTGAGCAATTTATTAAGTTAATTGTGTCGGTCTTTTCTTCGTTAATTTGTCCTCTATCCTCGTTAAACGAGATTATAGTTTCTCGTTTGATTTGAAAACAGTCTCGATATTTACTTTTTCCAGCACCCGTCTAATCGACTCTGAAATGACGGGCACATAAGGAATACAAACGGTCGATATCAGTTGGAGTGAGCGTTCGTGTTCGCGGTTGAGAAACGATGTTGTCTTATTCCTGTTTTGATGAACTGTTCCGGACATCCGTTTGTCTGCAAAGCTTCCTTCACATAGCGAATTTCATGTTCAAGTTATGGTGTTCAGTTGTTGACTTCATTTCAGATCTTACGTTATGTTCATTTGGGTAGGATATTAGTCGCACGGCTCTCAAATAGACTTCAGACCGCACCTGCTTTCATGCATGTCGCGGATGATTAGAGCTGAAATACAGGTAGTGTTGCGTATACATAGGCCTTTTAGTGATCCATCGTTCCTGGTGTAACTTGCGTAAACTCCCCGACAAAGAGCTAAAGCTAATTGTTTATACATCTTGACCATCTCATGCGTCCGCACCTTTGCACATCTTTCTGACTGTTTGCAGTTGAGAAGGGCTGGTAACATCAACCTAAACCTTGGTCCTACACCAAAAATGTTTGTACGACGTGTAATTTGGAATAAAATGGTCTCTTACTTACTTCAAGCTTCTGATACCTACTGCTTTGTAGTGAAGAATGGATTGACTTCTTCAGTTTCTAATGTTCACTGCGGAGTTATTGGTGTTTAATGATAACAAATGCGACTGGAAAGAAGAGATTCTTTAAGATGAAACATCTGAAGAATGGACACAAATCAACAATGGTACAAGGAAAAATAAACAGACTTGTTCTCATGGATTGAAAACGATGTTTCAAAAACTTACAGTTTATTAATGTTCTGAAAGTTTTGTTCCTAGGAATTGGCACAAAGAAAATGTTTCAATTTTAATTGTTGCTAGCCTTGCAAAAAGAATTTAATTTTCCTTTTCAAAATATTACTAGTGGCCTCATAATACCTGTAGCCCAGGTGCCTACAAAGTCTTTATC